TCTGCGCGTGGCGGTTGCCGCGAACGGTTGTCTTTGGCGTGCATCCCCGGTGCTCGGCACCGCGGGCTGCGCTACGGGGGCCCTCGTGGTAAGTGAAGCGTTGGCGTCGCCACCTTGGGTGTGTTATTGTGTTTGTCCTGTTATTTTGTATTCGTCGTGTTATTGTGTTTTTCATGTTATTGTATGTTTGTCCTGTTATTGTGTTTGTCATGGAGTGTATAGTAATATTGTTTGCAGATGTCCTAGCGTATTAATTACAATTGATGTATCGATTCGGCGGACGATATCGTCGTTCAAAAGCAGTTAAATGAATGTGTGTATGTTGTTCTTTGGTTTGTACCGACCGCGTCTGCTGTGTCCGATTTACTCTAAGAGCGTGGCGTGGCACTCGCTTGCCATTTCGAGACCCCACAAATTATGAATGTACAAAATCATGCTGCGTGTACCCCTCATTCCTCGTTGTAAGCGGAGCTGTCGTTGACTTGTGAATTGCACTTTATTCGACGAGGACTACTTCATCTACGCTTAGCAGAGAATAATGATCAACAATGTCTTCTCCGACCGAGCGGGTCATTGCAATATTCTGTTTTCGAAGGCTAGTCCATTCAATAGTGAGACGAGAGGCCGTTGCTCCAAACGGCCACTGTACCTGTCGTTTACTGCATTTTACGGTGACTAATTCACGTTTACTTATACTCTCTTCACAAGCATACGCACGGTGAGCGGCGTGGGGCGTCTCGTGACTTTCATAAACATGTACACATTGTGCTCAAATCACTTCAGAGAGGAACTTGATGACTGTGCCCTGGTTGAATTAGTATGAACACCCCCACGTCCGAAAAAAAAAATATTCTGGCTACGCCCCTGCCGGCTCCTAAAACACTTGCAGTTGAGTGATGTATTGTACAATGGCATTTCATTCTGTTATAAGAAGTGCACTTCAAGGCTAATTGTAAATCTCACACTTTCCAATATATTAGAGTTGATTTCATCTGTACGTCAGGGATGCCCGCTTTCGCCTTTGCTCGGTGCAATTCATCTTAAGTTTAAGTGTGCTTCTAGCTCAAGAGAATACCGATATGATAGCGTTATGCAGATGGCGTTGCCAATTTTATCTTCACGGTATCAATTACGCCACCGAACAACAATGCCACCGCTCACGCGAACAAACTACGGACGTCTGGACCTGAAATATCAAATATCCTGGCTATTAAACATTGTGAGGAATGACATAGGCTTCTACGCACCCGTTTCAAGCAATATGTTAAAATGTTTCTCTTACACTTTAAGGTAACTTATCAATGACATTTTATGCGCCTTTTATACATGTTTTTCACAGTTTCTTTAACTACAGTTTCAAGCTTCATAGTTTATTGCATAGAGGTGCATTATCTTGAACTGTTTAAATGGTATGTCTTTTTGCTCATGAAGTGTTTTGCATGATACATTTTTTTTTTTTTTGATGAAGCGTTTTCATATTTTTTAGGGGCGAAGCTTTTTATGGCGTGGCTTGTGCGTCCCCCGTTGTCGTAGTGCGTAGCATGTGGCATTTACCCGCATACCAGTGGCAAATACCCACCCTCGGGCAAATATCCGCATGTCCACATGTTACGGAAAACGTAGCACGGCGTCGTTATCACGCTCCCGGTGTTTACAAAGCGCTGGCAATAGAAATGTGGCTCATACTCTCGTTTAGTCATTGGATTGTACGCTGGATCGCAGTACTTGCACATGATGAATATATGATAAATAGAAGCAAGATGGCGGTACTCTAAGTGTTCACTAGATGGACGGATGGACAGATGCACAAACGCATACACAGACGGATGCACGAACGGGCGCACGTACGGACTGATGGATGCACGTGCGGATTGACGGACGCTTCACCCCTCTCATCATCATTCATTCCGTGGATATGTGCTGTGATTTTTTATTTTCCGTAAAGTATTTTTATTGTATCGTTTCATGAAGTGTTGTTATAAGTTTTTGTTCTCCAGAAGTACTTGTCCGATGTGAAACTGTGTTTGATCTGTTTGCATTTAGTTATGTACATGTTGATGCTTTTTTGTTGTAAATGCATCAAAACCATGTATATACATGCCGAATGCGCAAAGAAGTAGGAGCCTCTGTCAGGCCACATGACCTTTAGCTCTTGCTCCTCTCTCTGTAAAACAAAATAAATAATTTAAAATTTCGATTTCTTTTACATTGGTAAACCCAGCGCTCAAGAAGCAGTGCTACTCTATATGTTAAGCCGCTGGTGCCAGCATAAATTTAGATAAAAGCAGAGTATTATGGCTAGGCATGTGGGTCCAAACTCCTTCGGTCTTCTCAAATATCTATTGTAATGCGTCTCTTATGCGGTACCTTGTAGTGTCCCTCAGTAACTATTGTAACAGCAGCCCACATTGGACCTCTGCGATAACTACGATACGCCGAAAGCGGCATCATGGCACAGACGAGACCTTTCCATTTTTGCGAGAGCAAAAGCATGCAATCCATTCCTTGTATGAAGGCTCATTTATGTTCTGCAGATGTTGCACTGCTCTCGTGTGCACATTCAAGCCTTTCTTAGGATATTTTGTTGTTTTATTTGGCACTCTTCATGGAAACCCATTAGGAGAGGCAACAGTATTACTCGCGCGACTTCAGCACGCCTATCACCGCGTACGCCGTTTACACAGTAATACCTTGATACCTACTGCCCAGGCCAATGACTTTAATCGGGCAATATGTCTTAGTTTATTACTGTGTGAACGGCGTTTTCTTAGATATGCATGTCGAAGGTGTGCATAGTGCGTGTGCAAGTGATCGGTGTGATGAAATTGCGTGAGTCACACTGTGTCACTAGTGGCTCATTCATTGTTTATTCTACATTTCTTGATAATATTTCCCCTTAAATTGACTTGAAAGCTATTCACTCCTTGCGTTCCCCAAAATTTTGGGTTGCTTTAAAGTCGCGATGTACTCACGATGAAATTCGCTGTGGTCTGGATTAAATCGGTTGGTGGTTGGATTAATTTCAATGACACTTTCAATAAAATGACTGGCACTTGGATTATAGTGGCCGCTGGATTAAATTGACTGACGCCTAAAATAATTTGGCTGGCACTTGGACTGAATTGAGTGGGAAAACCTGCAGTATGCGTCTTAACACTAATTAGACATAAATGAGCTTGATTGTTATAGTACCAGTAAGGAGTGATTAGTATCTTTCAGGGTTTGAGGCCTCTGGGGTCATGGGAAAGTCGATTTGGACGATTTGGATTTATTTGGGCTCATCTGGCTCGGCTAAATTAAATGTAAGCATGATCAACTATGGAGTTGGCTGTCCGTGTACTTTTCTCGAACCATATGGGCCCATCAAAGCTTTACTCTGCTTAATGTAAAAGCGGCAACCTGGACAGGACTTAAACTTACTTATGCTCGAATCTATCTGGTGATACCACATTCAACTAGGCTAGATTACATTCGGGTAAGCTTCCTTAACGAGGTTCGTTTAAATTCAAGTTGGTCTAACGCGCAAAGGCAAGCTGAGCTGAGAAAGTTTAGTTTTGTCATCTTCCCGAATGACCTGCGCTGAGACAGCCACATTAGAGCATATACTCAGCACATGCCAAAACTTAAGTTTCAGTTTGTTAGTTTATTCATAAATCAATCATAAATTAATAAATGAGTTACAGAGTACACAGTAACATGTAAGGGGCAGAGCAGGCAAATAATGCCCGACAGGGTGCCTTAACTCGTCCCAGTGAATGAGGCACACAAGGAGCAGTCATGTACATACGTTAAAACACTACAAAACAAAAAAGTAGCGACAGTTTCACACTTTTCATAAGGGTTCATAAACCATCGTTAGCAAGACACTGATGCTACGAGACCTGTATGATTTGCGGTATACGTGTAGTGTAGTATTCTTTCTTCAGACAATAAAACAAAAACAAACAATGTGTAGAACTACCCAAACTTCTTAAATAACAATATGCAATTGCAACTCACTAAATTAAAATGCAACAGACATTTATACACGTCAATTTTAACAAAGAGGGGTGAACGAAAAGAAAACCTTTGTGTTTTTGTAGGGAGAGGAAAATTATTTTTCAAGCATAACTAGATATGTGTGTATTTTCTTTTTGAACGCAATCACTGAGTGGATCACACTGGAAGGGTGGGAGATGCTTCTACGCAGCCTTGCTCTCACTGATTAGCTCACGGCTGCGCAGCGGGCCCTCGAGGTGTCCGGCATGCTCAGCTTACTGGTTCCTATGTGGGACTGAGCCGGGTGAGTCGCGTTCCGCAGGACTAAAAGTTATTTTCTTTCCTTCCTTTGTGTGCTTGGCTCCATCAATTTCTGTGACCCTGGCTACGCGTAGTTATGAATCAAATGGTATACATAACTACGCGATCCCGGTGCTGGAACCGACGGCGTAGCAGCCGCTACGCAAAGAAACGACACAAGCTTGATAGACACCCAAGTGTCGTTTTGGCTGCGAGTGTGTCGAAAGAAGGACATGAGAGGCCAACTGATACGACGTGACGCGCATGCGCACCGCAGCAGGCGTCTCGTCGCTACATACGCGTCGATGCTTTCGGCCACGCGATGCCGTCGTCTGCACACTTATGCTCACACCTGTACACGCTGCAGGAGATGAAGCAGCATTACTTGGTCGACAACCTCACATGCCTTCGCGAAAGGTGACCGTAGGCGGCGTCAGCAGCGCGAGTGGTGCCAGAATTCACTGTCATGTGATGACATACAGCAGTATACAGGTGTTCTGTAGTGCGATCACGATGCCCGACAGAATTGGTGACGTCGCGTGTCGACGTCATCACAATTGGATCTTAAATGGAGGTGTGCCCCCCATCTCGGCGACAGTGTGGGCGCGGCAATATTCCGAACGGTATCAATGCTATCTCCGAGGAAACGGAAGAAGACGGGACTGCATAAAAAAAAAAAAAATCGGCTTGTTTTTTGTTTTTGAGCGTTTGCCGGTACTCACTGGTGCACGGTGATGTAGGCGGTGGTACTGACACATCCTTTGGCGAGGGCCTCAAATATGACCGATGCGTCGAGCCTGCTTAGTCCAGCTCCTCCGTACTGGTCCGATATGTAGACGCCGCCGAACCCCAGCTCGCCTGCCTTGCGCATCGCTTCCACCGGGAATATCTCCTGCATTAATATGCGTATATGCCGGTGAACTCCTTGGCTGACCTCGTCTCACGAGTCAAGAGGACCGCATTGCGAGACCTGAGCGAAATGCCACATCAGTCACCATTGTGACGTCTGCAGATTCAGAACATTTGTGGCGTCATTGCTTTGTCAAACAATCCCGGAGGTGAGGTACAGAAAAGCTTTGTTGTAAAGCGCGAGTCCCGAGAGCGTTCGTCACTCCTCTCGGCATAGGAGTGCGAGAGGTCGCACCCAACGTAAAGCAAGTGAGCCGCTGTAAATATTGTTTTTTTTTCAGCCCCCGAGAAGCTTCTAAATTTGTGCCGTCATGTGAATTCTGGCGGGAGACCTCGAACTGTGTGCACCACCTAGCATTAAGACAGGTTCGTCCAGTGAGAAGAATGCGCATAGGCTCGTATAGCGCTCCTTTGTTACAGTGAATATGTCGGTTGGACTGAAAGGTGCCTTCTTTTCGAACACCAGTATAACGTAGATAGGGCTAAATCAGTGGGCATTTGGGAATTCATCTTCGCGATTGTGGGTGCCGCCCTCTTTTTAATCACGCCTGCAAGGCACAAAGATCTTGAAACGGTATAGAAAGTGCATCAGGGTAGCTTCGGTTGCTCTTTCGAGCAAGGAGAGCGAATTTTCATCGCAAAACATGCGATGTCCATTACGTTCCCTTGACTGCTTTTTCTATGGCTCGTCTGCTCTGTTTTTTTCCTGGAAGAAGCTCATATACGGTGGCAGGAAAATAAAAGCCAGTTGTAAGTTCAGCGTTTCCTGTGCCTACTCTTTGTTCGTCCACGTTCTGTGCGCTATATGTGAAAACCTTAGTATATGTGTAGTCACTAACGGTGGGATCGATAACTTTTTCATGTTTTTATCTGGAATGTGTACAGCGTGGTTTTAAACAATAGATATATTTCTTTAGTGATGGGCAGTCAAAAGCCTGTCGTTTTGGCGCCCTAACTCTACTTCGAGGTGCCTAAGGTTATGCCCCTGTAAATAACAAAAACTCGTTAATTATCAACCTGAAGACAGTTGCGTATGTGAGACATTTGCAGGACGTGGCAGTTGACGACATACTGATTTTTCTAGGTATAAAAATGTTCATGATTTCAGATATGAGAATTCCAAATTTCAGGCGCTGATCGAGGCTGTATCGAAAGTGAGCTCGCCGGGCACGCAAGAAATACCCCGCTGTGTTACCTCGACCCGAAACTTCACGTTACAAAAGGCACCTATCTATCTATATGTCTATCTATCTATCTATCTATCTATCTATCTATCTATCTATCTATCTATCTATCTATCTATCTATCTATCTATCTATCTCTGTCTGTCTGTCTGTCTGTCTGTCTGTCTGTCTGTCTGTCTGTCTGTCTGTCTGTGCGGCGAGAGAGAGAGATACAGAGACAAAAGACATGTTCAAAGTGCCATTGGTTCGCCTTTAAATGCCTCGTACCTATAGTCTTCTCATACAATCGATCGCCTCAAGCTACTACTAAATCGGTCATTAAAGCACAGGAGAAACGTTTTTATTTACACACAGATTTTGTAAAAGGACCAGATAGATAGAGAGAGAGATTGGAGAAAGAAGAACAACATAAAAAAACACTGTTTTCTACCCCCCATCGTTAGGGCACGGCTGACCGCCATCAGGGATGAGGATTCGGAAAGTAAAGTTGATAAAATTGAGTCCAGGCAGTGAGAACGAAGCCAATAAAACTAGACTTACTTTTTCGTCCCATTCTTGCATGTATGGCAGAAATTCCTTTTCAGCAAAGTCGGACGCCGTTTTTTGCATTTGGATCTGTTCCTCGCTGAGACCAAGAGTTGCTGCGCAAAACAAAAAGCGGTGATTGATTCATACAGATTTCAGTGACTACACAAGCGCTGCGGTGCTACTTTGCCATTTCGTTCACCCACACACACACACACTATATATATATATATATATATATATATATATATATATAAGCATGGTGGTTGAGTGGCCATAGCATTGCAAGTAGTCAAGTAGATTCTCCTCTCTCTCTCTCTCTCTCTCTCTCTCTCTCTCTCTCTATATATATATATATATATATATATATATATATATATATATATATATATATATATATATATATATATATATATATAGGCATGGTGGTTGAGTGGCCATAGCGTTGCAAGTAGTCAAGTAGATCCTCCGCAAGCGGTGTCACGACGTAGTTTGTTTCGGCCTAGAGTCTGGCCTTCATCAAGATTGATGAAGGCCAGACTCTAGGCCGAAACGTCGAAATAAACCACGTTGTGACTGCTCACAGAGAATCTACTTGACAATATATATATATATGTGTGTGTGTGTGTGTGTGTGTGTGTGTGTGTGTGTGTGTGTGTGTGTGTGTGTGTGTGTGTGTGTGTGTGTGTGTGTGTGTGTTGTGTGTGTGTGTGTGTGTGTGTGTGTGTGTGTGTGTGTGTGTGTGTGTGTGTGTGTGTGTGTGTGTGTGTGTGTGTGTGTGTGTGTGAACCTTCTGTAGGCACGCGGTAAATAGCATTGGGGAGATTGTATCCCCCTGCTTTAGACCCTTCTTGATTGGTATTCTGTTACTTTCTTTATGAAGCACCATGGTAGCAGTTGATTCCCTGTAGATTTCTTCCAGGACGTTTATATATGTTTCGTAGATGCCCTGATTTCGCAGTGTCTGCATGACTGCTGATATTTCTGCTGAATCTAACACCTTCTCGTAATCTATGAAGGCTATGTATAGCGGGTGGCTATATTCTGAGCATTTCTCTATTACCTGATTTATAGTATGAATGTGGTCGATTGTAGAGTAGCCTTTTCGAAATCCTGCTTGTACGGCATCATTTACCTCAACCTCGTAGCGTTGTGATGACTTTAAAGTGACATATCAACCTTTCTCATTCGCGCTTCGCATATCATCGATTCCCACTGTACGTGGGATCTGCCGATTTTTCTCTTGTGCTTGCGTCATTGTCGACGAGCTATTACTCGCTGGTAATACTTGGACAGATTTCGCCAGCAGCATCGCCATGGCGCCCAGCGTGTCACGCCCCGTTCCGTTGGTTTCGGATCGCCACGTGCTTTTTGAGCAGGAGAGAGAGCCGTGCCTTCTGCTTCACTGCCACGAACTGTTCGCCACCGCTAAACAAGCGCTGCCAGTCTACGCTGCGCGCGCCTTCTATCTTATCTCCCTCTTCCCCTTCCCTTACCTTTCGTTCTTATAAAAACCCAAGCCGGACAATAAACGCTCGCTTTTTGCCCTGGCCACTCTGCTCGTGCATTTCGGGGCGCGGCCCAGCCGCGGGGCCGGTTATAACAGTGGCGACGAGTATTTCAACAAAGAACGAGACCCAGCTGCTTCCTGAAGGCGGGCAAGCAGCCACCCCATCGACAGGCATGAGTCACCGCCTCCCGGAATTCAACGACGACACAGATAAGTGGCAAGCGTACCTCGTGAAGGTTGAGGCATATTTTGAATCAAACGAAGTCACTGACGATGCCAGGAAAAGAGCCCTGTTGGTAGCCGCACTTGGGTCGCGAACGATTGATGTGCTATGCGGTAGAGTGGCACCGCAGAAGCCAAACGCACTCGGCTACGATGCGGTAGTGAAAGTTCTAAGCGAGTATTATAACCCACGACCAAACGAAATTTCAGAAAGCTTCAAGTTTTTTCACCAAAACCAGCAGGAAGGAGAGTCTGTTCACGCATTCATTGTGGAAATACGGCGCCTAGCGCATAACTGCAACTTCGCGTCCATGCTGGATAGGATGTTAAGGGACCGTATCGTGTGCGGGGTACGTTCAAGAAATTTGCAAAAGCAGCTGCTCGCGAAACCTGAGTTGACATTACAAGAAGCAGAGGCACTTGCGTTGGCGGCAGAAAGGGCAGAGTTGGATGCGGAGAACATAAATCGAGAAACGCCCCCGGTAACAGTGTCGGCAACGAAGGAGCAACGCTGGGTGCCGCGAGGTCAGAAGAAAAATGAAGACGGAAAGCCATGCGAGTGCTGCGGAAAGCGTAATCATAAGCACGCGACCTGTTCAATGCGTGAGAGGCACTGTTACAAATGTGGAAAATAAGGGCACTTGGCACGCATGTGCCAAAGGATCGACAACGCGTTGAATGTAACAGCCCAAGCCAACGACAGTGATAGCAGCGCGTCGCAACTTTGGTCCGTAACTTCGAATAATTCATTGGTGCCCCTGATTCAGGAAACGTTCACGTGGAACGGCGTAAAGCTGAAGATGGACGTTGATACCGGCTCGCCCGTATGCGTCATTCCGAGAGCAACCTACAAAGCCCACCGTCATCAATGGCCGAAGTTGCAGGAGCCAAAGATAAAGCTGGCGTGCTATTTGGGGAAGCTACCCGTACTCGGAGTACTGTCAATGCGTGTATGCCACAAATCGGCGGAGGTTGATTGCAACCTAATCGTATTGGACTGCGAAGGTCCTCTCCTGTGTGGTCATGATTTGCTGCAGAAACTACAAGAGCAGGGCGCAGCAGTACTCCACGTAGCTGCGCCACCACTCGGGTCGAGCTCGGAGTCTCTGCCCGCGCCTGCTGTGTTGGACCACTATTCCGCCCTGTGCACGGAGGTCGTAGGACTCATGAAAGGCCCACCGGTGCGCCTTCACATCAAGCCTGAAGTGACGCCAAAGTTCTTCAAGGCAAGAAAGGTACCCTACGCTCTGTTGGATAAAGTTTCAGAGGCATTAGATCGACTCGTGGCAGCTGGCATTATATCACCAGTGACCCACTCGGAATGGGCTACGCCCATTGTTCCAGTCTTAAAGAAAGACGGCACAGTTCGCATTTGCGGTGACTTCAAGGTTACTTTGAACTTAGTATGCGAGCTGAAACAATATCCGCTGCCTCTTATCGAGGATATTTTTGCGCAATTAGGTGGGGGGGAGCGGTTCAGCATTTTGGATTTGCGCGACGCATACAACCAGATCCAGCTAGACGAAGAGTCTCGCAAATTGGCCGTGATAAACACCCACAAGGGCCTCTTTTGCTTCAACCGCCTCCCGTTTGGGATGGCTTCGGCACCGGCGATATTTCAAAGGCGGATTGAATCAATCCTACAGGCCTTGCCAGGGGTGCAAGCGTACCTAGATGACGTGTTGATAGCGGAAGAGGGTGACAGCCAAAACCGCAATCTGATGGCTGTGCTCGAGCGCTTCCGTGAACATGGCATTAAGCTTCGTGCTGATAAGTGCCGCGTTAGCGAGCCCTCTGTTACATATCTAGGTCACCGTATTGACGCGAACGGACTGCATCCCATGGAAAAGAACGTGGATGCTATCAGGCTAGCCCCCTCTCCACAGAACGTCTGCGAGCTACGCTCATTTCTGGGCATGGTAACCTTTTATAACAAGTTTATGCCCGACTTGTCTACCATTCTAGCACCGTTGTACCAACTGCTGAAAAAGGGCGCTAAGTGGACATGGAGCACCAAAGAAAAGAAAGCCTTTGTCCAGGTGAAAAATGCGTTGTGCGCGGCACCCATACTCACTCATTTTGACCCGAACCGTGAGCTCTTCTTGGAGTGTGATGCGTCCCCATACGGAGTTGGTGCTGCACTTTTTCATCACACCAAGGGCGAGAAGCGACCCGTAGGCTTTCGATCGAAAACGCTGACAACTGCCGAAAGAAAGTACTCTCAGATCGAGCGCGAGGCGTTAGCCTTGATATTTGGTGTCACTAGGTTTAGGGACTACCTGTTGGGACGAGAGTTCACTCTGGTTACGGATCACCAGCCGTTGCTGGGCCTGTTAAGGCACGACCGTCAGACCCCCGTCATGGCGGCAGCCAGAATACAAAGATGGGCGCTACTACTTGGTGCATACAAGTATAAACTGCAGTACAAGCCGGGAAAATTTATGCTCAACGCGGATGCATTAAGCCGGTTACCCCAATCTCTTGAACAGGAGCTGCAGGACGACGAGGATGCGGCCGAGTACGTCCTCGTCGTGGACCAGTGGGACGAGCCGGCGGTGCCCATGAAAGAGCTTCAAGCCCTCACGCAGTCAGACGGCGTACTGTCAAGTGTGTGCAGATACGTCATCCAAGGTTGGCCACAACGCACTGCGGAGGAAGGCACAGAGATGCGGGAGTATCACAAAAGGCGGAACGAGCTGTCCGTGCAGCATAACTTGCTTCACTGGGGTCATCGTGTTGTGGTTCCGGCGGAAGCCAGGAAGAAGCTACTGAAGTTATTACATGGAGCTCATCAAGGAGTTTCTGCAATGAAGGCAGTTGCACGGTCAAAATTTTGGTGGCCTGGCTTGGACCACGATATTGAGCGCTTAGCCGCTGTGTGTCAGCACTGCGTACAGGCGTTGCCCATGCCACCCGCGCAAGCACCCATTCGCTGGCCAGAGACGCAGGAAAGATGGTCGCGATTGCATGTCGACTTCGCGGGTCCGATCCAAAACAAGATGCTTCTTGTCGTCGTGGACTCTCACAGTAAATGGATTGAGGCCATTCCCCTGGCTCACGCGACCTCGCGCAACACAGTCGATGCCCTGCGAACGCTGTTCAGTAGATTTGGTCTGCCACACACAGTAGTGTCTGATAATGGCACGCCATTCACCGGATGGGAGTTCAAGGAGTTCTTGCAACAGAACGGGGTAGTTCACGTGCGGGCACCCCCCTACCATCCACAGAGTAATGGACTCGCCGAACGTGCGATACGAACCATCAAAGACGGACTAAAGAAGTGTGGGGACGCAGACTTGTCAAGGGCGCTGGCTAGAACACTGTGCCGCTATAGAAACACGCCGCTTCCGTCCGGGCGCTCACCATCAGAAATGTTGTTGGGTT